CTCCCGCCCTGCGTCGCTGTCCTTGGCATGGCCACAGCATGTGCTGGGGCTGCTGTGAGTTGCTTCAGAATAGCTCCTGTCCACACCACCTTGTAGACAAATTTCTAAATTCATCTTACATTAAATAAAAAACACAGAGCCAGATGTAGGGGTGAAAACCTGAGAGATCAGGGAAATAGGGAAAGTCACAGCCGACCTCACCTCACCAACTCCACAGCTTTTAAAACGAGCTACTTCCTGTCTACCCACGCCTATATGCCTTGCTGTTCTGCCATCTGATTTGCTCTCTCTGTCCAGCTACATCACTTCCTCTTCCTGCCCAGCTATCACTTCCTGTCTGTCTCTGTACAGACCTACAGACCTCCATGGTTAACTAGTGTTGGAATTTAAGGCGTGTGCCACCACACCTGGCTCTGTTCCCAGTGTGGCCTTGAACTCACAGAGATCCAGACAGATCCCTGCCTGCCAAGTGACAGGATTAAAGGCGTGTGCTACTATTGCCTGACTTCTATGTAGTGGCTGGCTTTTCCCTCTGATCCTCGGGTAAATTTTATTGGGAGACAGTATACTGGGGACATATCACCACACCACCTGTATCACATAACTGGGAGAAGAGAAAACCTGTGTTCTTCCTTCAAGGCACACTGACCTTTCTAAAGCTCATCCCGAACAGGCATAAGAAACAGCACCCGGGTTATAATAAAGGAAACAGGCTCTGCACAGTTGAACAGACAAGACACTGTGTGTGCTGGAACCACCACATGTCAATCACAGCAGCGGCTGGGAAGAGGCACTTGTGCTGGTCACCATTAGTGGCTGGCCACTTCGTGGTGCTTGGTTGTTTTTAAGACAGGGTCTCACATGGACCAGGCTGGCCTCAAACTAGATGCACAGATGAGATGACCCTGAGCTTGGGGCCCTCCCTGCCTTGGTCATATGTGACTATGTGTCACTGGGGATGAAACCCAGTTTCTTCACACTTGGCAAGCTCTGTCCACTGGGCCACATGCCCAACCCCTCCCTCCTGTTTTTGTTTTTTTAGATTTATTTATTTGTTATATACAGCATGTATGACTGCAGGCCAGAAGAGGGCACCAGATCTCATTACAGATGGTTGTGAGCCACCATGTGGGTGCTGGGAATTGAACTGAGGACCTTTGGAAGAGCAGTCAGTGCTCTTAACCTCTGAGCCATCTCTCCAGCCCTGATCCTCCTGTTTTAAACTGATGGGTTTTTTTTTTGTCTCTAGATGAAACAATCCAATCTGGGCCATTTGTTAAAATGTTGGTAAGTCTATCTGACTTAGGAGAACTTCCTGCCCCACAGCTTATGACTCCCTATTAACTGTCTAGTTCATGTTTGTGCCTGGAGAGCCCTTGGCTAGCTTCTCTTTACTGTGGGCACATTGAATGCTGGGCAAAGGGCAGAGGGAACCTGACTTAAGACATCCCATAATTAGCTGAAGATAGAGGCACACACTTTATAATCTGAGCGACTTGAGAGGCTGAGACAGGAGGATTGCTGTGAGTTGAAAGCTATCCTGGTCCACATAGTGAGTTCTAGGCCAGCCCAGGTTAGAACCAGACCCTATCCCAAATCAAAACATTAGAGGTTTGCCTGCAGTTGCCTTATTAGCCAATCAGGAAACCACAGGACACACAGAGCATTACTGAACACAATGTCTGCACGTCCCCTTCCCGCTTTCTAAAGGGCTGATGTGGGACGCACCGGCCACCAGGCATCCCACCCACTTCTCCTGTTCTAGTTTTTTGGTCAGGCTGGACATTCAGTGCTCCAAGCAGATACCAGCAGCTTCTCCAGAGCCCCAGAAAAGGCCTGGGTGCAGGATTCCTGAGTCAGGCCCATGGCCAGCTTCACCTGGGCCCTTAGACACCAAAGCCAATTTGCTGGCCATAAGCATTCATTCAGCTCACTCTTTCCTTGAGAACTCTCATTTCATTGGCTCCTGGCCTAAGTTCAGTCCTCAAAAACGCCAAGTTGCCACCCACGTGCACCAAGGTTTTTTGTTAATATTTAAATTGTGTGTGTGTGTGTCCACGTATGTCACAGCGTACGTGTAGCGGTCAGGAGTTGGTATCTCCTCCTGTTATATGGGTCCTGGGGCAGGAGCTCAGGTCACCAGGCTTGGCGACAAGCCCCTCTATCCGCTGAGCTTTCTCAACAGCCCTCTAAGGATATTCTTAGTTCTGTACTATCACTGAAATAGCTCTGGACTTGCCTGGTTTTTGCCCTGGCTCCACCCCCACTCCACGCCCAGCGTCTTGGCTGTCAGTCTTGTGTGGCTCTTCACTTGGGACGGTTTTCCTGCCCTGTGCTCCCGGCTGGTCAGTCTCTCAGTGTCCGTGACTAACTGTCTCGTTTCCACGGCTGCAGCTCTTCCCCACTTCTGAGTCTCAGACTTCCATCCACGGACTATCTCTGCTATTGTCGTCATGTTCTAGTTCTTTTTAAAAGTGGGATGGTGGTGAGAGAGCCAGGTGTACTGGCACACGCCTTTGATCCCAGCAGGGAGGATCTGTGTGAGTTCGTGGCCAGCCTGGTCTACTAAGGGAATTCCAGCACAGCCAGGGCTACACAGAGAAACCCTGTCTTGAGAAACAAAATAAAAATTTCGGTATGTGTGTTATTTTTTGAGTCAGGCTCTCCTATAGCCCAGGATTCCACTTAACTCACGATGTAGCCAAGAATGACCTTGAACTCTCCTGCCTCATCAGTGCTGAGATTCCAGGCATGCACCACCTCACCTGTTTTATGTAGTGCTGTGGATGGAACCCAGGGCTTCCAGCAGGCTAGGCCAGCACTCTGAACCAACCCACATCGCAGGCCTAAAATTCAATGGTTTTTGTTGTTGTTGTTGAAGGTTTTGTCTGGTTGGTTTTTGGTTTTTCAAGACAGGGTTTCACTGTGCAGTCCTAGCTGTCCTGGAACTTGTTCTGTAGACCGGGCAGGCTGGCCTCAAACTTAGAGATCTGCTGGCTCTACCTCCTGAGTGCTGGGATTAAAGGTGTGCACCACTACCTGCTTTAAGATTCATTTTAATGTCTGGTCATCTGCTTGACGGATGTGGGGTTGACGGGTCTTTTCTGACACTGGTTTTTATGTGAGTGTTCTAGGCTTCCACAGCTAATATGGCTCCCTCTTCTGCTGATCTGGCGGAGTTTGCAACAGTCGCCCCTCTGCTCCCAGAGCTGCCCCGCAGCTCCCCGCAGCCCTGGCTCCCCGCAGCTCCCCGCAGCCCTGTGCGGCAGGCCAGGCAGGCCAGTCCGCTGCTGCCCCAGACCTGCCCAGCAAGACCCCAGGCTACGAGGCATTCCTGTTACAGTAGCTACCAGAGCACCTCTGCTTTCTCCTCCGAGTGCAGGAAAGTTTTGTGAAGAGTGCTTTGTCCATGGCACGGCCGTTTGGGGCATTCTGGGATACCTTACTGCCTAGTTTTGTGGCAGATTGATGGTCACAGGAGCTATTACTATGGAAAAATACACACAATACTGTCATTTGAGCATTTTGGAACATAGGATTCAGCTCTCCACCAGCTGCAGGTTTTACCTTGGCTGTATTTATTGTGGGGTCACCATTGCTATCTTCCCAGAATGCCTAGCTCTCTAAGTCCTCAGTTCTCAATTTTTAAAGTGACATGTACTTGTATGTGCATGTGTGTGGGCACGTGTGACACTGCACATGCATGGAGACCAGTGACAGCCCGTGGGAGTCCATTCACTCCTTACACCACATGGTCCTGCCGTGGAACTCAGGCTTGGCGGTGAGAACTGCACCCACACCATCTTGCCAAAGATGGTTTCCTTTTCCAAACCTTACTTTCCAAACAGAACTGAGCCCAGTTGATTTGTTCCATGACAACATTACTAAGAATGCCTCCCCTGGCCCTTGAGAACTGCAGGCACCCCAAGGTTCAGGCTTGGTCAGAGTTCTCCAGGGATCTGGCATCAAAGAAAACATGGGGCTGGGGTGTCGGCACACACCTGTAACACGGGGCTGGGGTGTTGGCACACACCTGTAACATGGGGCTGGGGTGTCGGCACACAACTGTACCATGGGGCTGGGGTGTCGGCACACAACTGTACCATGGGGCTGGGGTGTTGGCACACACCTGTAACACGGGGCTGGGGTGTTGGCACACACCTGTAACACGGGGCTGGGGTGTCGGCACACACCTGTAACGCTAGCACTTGGGAGTTAAGCCAGCCTAGGCTGCAGAGGGAGTTTCAGGTTAGCCTGGGCTATATACATGGTGTCATTCAGGATGAGCACAGGCTAGCACTCTGGCCTAGTTTAGGGCCTGCCACTTCAGGGTGGTCCTATCTGAACAGGTGAGACCTGGGTTAGATGCCTGTAAGTTCTCCTTATCCTCATCCTATCTCTCATTTCCACAAGAATGTGAGCCTGGAGCCAAGGCTAGGAAAGACAGGTTTACCTTGACCAACCTCGGGCTGGGATATCAGGGAGCCCAGCTTGACTGTCCAGGAGAGCATTCCCCAACAGGACTCACAACCAGGCTATGAACAACACTTGGGAACCTCCTGCCTTCTACCCCATGAATGATCTGATCCCCCATCTGGGGACAGACTTCACCCTCCCTTTGGGGAGGTTCTAGTTTGGCAGCTGGCACACCTGTGATGACCTCCCCCATAACCTGTACGTGCCCTGCTGTCCTGGCTCTGCTGCCTCTGCAGACCTCTGCAAGTGGAGAGCCAGGATGAGGTCACTCAGGCCTCCGCAGGCCCACGCCCGCTTAGAGAAACCCATTTTACAGTAAGGAATGTGAAGACCCTGGGAGCCAGGCTGTGCCAGTCTTGTCTGATTCACTGAACTGCACAGGGCACAGCAGGCGTCGAGGCAGAGTGACTACGGGCCACCCACTCCACAGCCAGGCCTCCCCTGCCTTTGGGCATCGGCAGCCCCCTTCTCTCCTCAATCTTCACACTCTTCAAAGACTTCTCAAGAAGAAAAGGACACTCTTCTTAAACAGTTCACATTTATTATTGTAACAATAAAAAATCTTTTAAAGACTATCAGTACTGTATTACCAAGAGTGAGGTAATATGTTTACAAAACATTTACAGAATTTGATATGCAAATAATGGATTCAGGAAGGAGAGTGAATTAAGACACTAGGAACAGAAGAGAACCCAGAGAGTAGGTCGTGGGGGTGGGAGGGCGAGACAGCAGCATTTTAGGACACGTGCCGGGCACTGTGAGGAGAGACTCTGCAAGCCACACACTCACATCACACCTAGTCACCCTCACAAGGCAGCCAGCGCCCTGTGACTCGGGGAAAGCTGAAGGCCTGGGAGTGTGCAGTCATGTGCTGTGAGCTCTTAAAGATGCGCTCAGCTCTGAGGGGCTGAACAGTGCCACTTCTGAATGGACTTAAGGGAACAGATCTTCAGCCTGAGACAAGGCTGCGACTCAAATAGCTCTACAAACATCTGGGCACATGTGGACTGTTGAGTGAAGCATTTTCTTGGAGGCTGTCAGCAAAATCGCCATCTGAGACACAGAGAGAGGGAAAGGGAGAGGGAGAGAGAAGAGAGAAAGAGCGGGGGCATCTTCAGGTGCTTTCACTTGGAGCTGGGAAGCCCTGACCGGAAGCAGCATGGGCACAGTAACTGCAGCCCTGCTGTGCTCTCTAGAAATGGCTCCCACGCACAGGAAATGCATGGCGAAGGGCCAGAGAGGCCAGCAACCAGGGCCTGAGCATGACGCAGGGCGCCGGGAGCTAGCGGGTTCACTGGCCAAGCCAGGCTGCCGTGTAGTGTCTCCTCATGCTTGCTGACATGCCACAGCCTCCACAAAGCTCTCAAGTCACACAGACATCACCCAGTGCCTCAGAGCAGCATCAACACATGATTCCACACCTGTCGAACACACTCACGGCCATATGGGTCTGGCACCCATCTTTAGACACTTTTACCACACACTCAAACAGATCCCATGCCCTTCTCGTGGAGATCTGCCACCTGCAACTTCCAGACAGCTTTGTAAGCAACACACTTTCCCCATAAAAGCTGTGAAGTGAGGGCCTGCTCAAACAGCAGGCTTTGGGAAGTTGGGATCAGAAAGAAAAAGACAAAGCAAGCCAACTTCTGGTCTGCTTCTATAAAATGCTGATAGAACAAATGAAGTCCTACCATCCCATCAGCACCCCGCTCCCTCATGCACGCAAACGGCACCTTCACACGCCCCTACAACATCCATCACACACCCAAGGCCACTATAAGCCATGCGTCACCCTGGAGCACACTGCTGGAGTCTGCACTGCCATACTTCCAAAAGGAAGTGTGACCTACTGCTTCCAAACACCCCGCTGAGAGCTGAAGGTCCCAGGTGCGGAGGGCTGGGGACCCTGGGTGATAACGACTAGGGACCCTGGGTGCTAGGAGGACTGAGGACCCTGGGTGCTGAGGACTGTGGACCCTGGGTACTGAGGACTGAGGACCCTAGGTGCTGAGGACTGAGGACCCTGGGTGATAATGACTGAGGACCCTGGGTGCTAGGAGGACTGAGGACCCTGGGTGCTGAGGACTGAGGACCCTGGGTGCTGAGGACTGGGGACCCGGGGTGCTGGCGGGTACAGAGCTGCCCATCTGCAGGAGGAAAAACAGCCTTCAGCAGAGGATAGAACCCTTCCCTTCCCCAAGTCCATGGACAGAAAAATTTTGCTCTGAAAAATATCAAAAGATTTGAAGAGGAAGAAAGAGAAAGCAATGTTTAATGATGGCGGTGTTGTTGGGAGTCGCGAGGAGCCTGGCAGCCCCTCCTGGGCAGAGTCCCTGCTCAGGAGCGGGCTGGCTCAGCTCCAGGACCGGGTGCTCTTGTAGGCTGCCAAGTCCTCAGAGGAAAGGGACCTCAAGGGCTGTCCTGAATCCACAGGCCACCTCCACTAACGGAGCCTCGAGGACTCCGGCGCAGCTTAGGGGCTGCCTGCTGCAGCTTCAGTTCCGTGGAGGAGGCGGCTCGTCTCTGCAGGATGTCACACAAGTCATTCGCTAGTGGACAAGGTGAAGTTTGTTGGAAAAATTTTTTGCATTGACATTTGAGACCAGTCAGTCTCTTACTGTAGATAAACTACTTTTCTTTCGAGAGCCCTTGTGCTCTGGTGTGATTTTGTGCACGCTGCATACAAAATCTATGGCTATTGAGTTAAAGTTAGGGGTAGAGTTAAAACTAGCTGTCCTGACAGTCTGGGACCACGTGGCTAGTATACCATCTGGAGAGCCTGCTGCTATCTAGAGGGTGAGGAGTCTGCAATCCAGGGTGGCTGGAGCACAGCCGTCGAGGAGGCGCCCTCCGCACTAGGCACAGGCTTCGCAGCACTACCTGGAAATCATGGAGCTCGAGTGTGATTGGCTGGAAGAGGTGGTGGCGGCGCTCAGCTGTGAGAACCCACTGTGGCTGGACTCCAGGCTGGTCATGGAGCCTCTGCAAACGGAACCAAGAAGGAACAAGGAGTGAGGAACTTCCCTGAGCCACCCAGATGCCCAGTGCCTGCTGGAGCCCCAGCTCATCTGCATCTGCTCCTCCCGCACTAGAACCTGCAAAGCAGGGATGGGACACGGATGTCCACTGGAGGAATCCACTTCTTGTGCTCTGCCCACAGGTGAGGCTGCACTCCCTCCCTCTCCTGCGGCCCACAGAGCCCCAGATAGTGACCGAGTACCCCCAGGCCCCGCCCCCTCTCAGGCACATACCGGAAATCCTCGGACCCGATCACTTCTGTGTAGTACATCACTTTGCACTTGTGCGAGGAGACCTGCAGGGAGGCCAGCACGTCGTCCACTCGGGGCAGGTTGGTGGCGGCACAGGCCGGCATGCTGTGGAACTTCCACTGCAGGATGTAGAAGCCGGGCCACCTGGTCACATGGGAGCCCTGCAACAGCGGGCAGTGTAACTCAGGACACTCTGCCACCAACCTTCAAACAGGTCTGACAAGCTCCCAGGAGAGGCCTGTCCTGAGAGCTTGCCAACAGCCTGACCATGTCCTTCCACCTCCTGGATGTGGCCTGCTCTGAGGCCTCTGTCAGGGGCTGGGGAGCAGCCTGCACTGTGTCTGCTGCCCTCAGCAGCCTGCAGCCTCTGGAGACCCCCAGACGGCAGCAGGTGCTTGGCAGGGTGGTGGCTGTGAGGTGGGCCTGTCTCTTGGACAGAGATTTCCAGGCCAGAGAACACTTCCGCCACACTCCCGTCACCTGCCCTGCACTTGGCAGTCGGTTCCAGCGACTTCTTCCATCCAGATTACAAATCGAGAGGAAGAGCCAGCTTCAGACATGCACTGCTTTTAAGATGGGTGAAGACTCCCTTTTAAGCTGCCTCACAGAGCCCTGATGGGCTGGCAGCCTGCATTTGCAAGCCACAGAAGGGTAGAGAGCAGGTGACCACTGTGTGGGGCAGAGGACTGTGGGAGCGGGGGAGTGAGAGCAGGCACCGACTGCCAGAGCTGCTGCGGGCGGGCGGGAGCCAGCACCAAGGGAGGGCCAACCCCGCCCAGGAGCCAACGTGAACCAGCACACTCCAGAGCTGCCATGCTTCCTATTGAGCTGGCAGTGGCCTCTGCACTGGCCCCTCTGTTTCTGTCTGTTCTTTTCCTCTGGAGGCAAAGCCACGCCCAGTCACAGCTCAGCGTCACAGCTCAGCGGAGTCACTGCAACCCAGATGTGTGCTACAAAGTATCTCTTCCCTGTCTCATGGCACTTGGGTGCAGAGGCTTCTGGGGAAATGGGAAACACATTTTACTAAGTTCATCACTCTGGTCTCAGGCCTTCTTCCTCAGGCCATCGCTCCTTCCACTGTGCCCCGGGCATCCTGAGTCTCTCTGGCTGTGAGGGGTCTGACTGAGCAGGCCCACCTGTGCCCTTCTCCTGGTGGCAGAAGCCACATGGCTGGAAAAGCTCCTCGTCAGGACAGTGAGCACGGCGTCCGATGGCCAGCCTACCTGCACACTCTCGCCTTCTTTGCAGATCAGAGGAGACTCCACCATGCTGTAGTCCCGGCCTAGCTGCCAGACTTTGTCTATGAGCTGCACGTTGTTCCCACCTGGAGAAGTGATGCTGTGAGCCCCCAGCGAGTCCTTTTTGGGTGGCTGGGGAGACCTCTTGGAGTGATAAATATTAAAGACGATGTCCCCTTTGCACACGTCAAAATCCCAGGTGATCACTGAGGCAGCGTCCACAATCTGAATGAGAATCTGGAGAAAGAGACTCCATTAGCAGCCACCGATTCACAGCACAAGGCCTGGCCAGGGCTGGGGCAGGATGGGCCCCTCTAGGGCTCTGTGGCTCAGATGTGTGAGCTGGTAAGGGGCAGGACAGATCAAATAGGCAGTTCTCTATGCCACAGGCCACTCAAGCGTCCAGATGCCCATCCACCAACCTCCCCACCATTCTCTCAGTGTTCCCACTAGGCGTCACCAATGAGCCAAACCGCTAGCCCCGTGTGGACTCTGAAGAGTCCCGTTCCTCATCTTCCCGACAAAGGTCAGGAACACTCATGAGTGTGGACATGGGGTCAGTGGACGGCCTCAAGCTAGGGAGCAGCCGCAGGCCCTGAAGAAGGGAGGTGTATAAACAGAAGGACAGGCTGGCAGAGCCTCGTGCCTGTGAAGGCACGCAAGTGGGTGGAGAGATCAGCAGTGTCCTGGGGGCGACCGCCGTGGGTACAGAGTGCCAGTCCCAGGCCTGGAATTTATTCTGCATCAGTCTGGTGTTCCAGAGGGAAGAGGCAGGTCTGTGAGGAGGCGGAAGGCTGCAAAGCAGGAGAAGCAGCCATGCAGTCTGCTGCCTCGCCTCCTCCAACCCCTGTAAGGCCGCTGAAGGAACTCAGCCCCTCTCAGAGCAACAGGCACCACTAAAGGGTGCGGCCGATTCTCTCCATCAAAGAAGCTCCCAGGGGCAGATCTATCCAGAGACCTGGGCCTGTGCTGACCTGGCGGGCGATGGGAACTCTGAAGCCAGCCTCACTCCAGGCCGGCGGGCGATGGGAACTCTGAAGCCAGCCTCACTCCAGGCAGTACTTTGATGTGTGCTTTCCTTACACCCCAAGGCAGAATGAGGCTTTCACTGTCAACACTGACAGGTGCTTTGTGACTTAGGAATCACTGTGAGCCCGGAGCTTTGCAAAAGACAAGACTGACTGACAGCCACTGCCTCATAAACAGCAAAGAAGGGCCCCTCCACCCCAGCCTGCCTCCCCATCAGAAATGAAGGCAAATGACTCTTGGGACAGTCAAAGAACCAAGGCCCCTGCCCGGGACCACGAGAGGGAGGGAGGCACCCGGATTTGTGCCTGCCTGTTGGCAGCCCAGCCCAGCCAGGCTCCCTCTCAGCGTGCCTCTGTGTATCGACCATCAGCTGTTTGAAGACACACCAGCGATGACAGCTGGCAGGCAGCGGACAGGGGTGGCCACAGCAGAGAGCCGTCAGTGGGGCGCGCACTCCACTGACGGATGGGCCTGTTCCGGATAGAGTGCTGCCTCCCAGCTAAGCCAAGGGCGAGCAGTCACGCACGCCACAGGGACAGGGAGAGGGACGTGTCAAACAGGAGCACTGCAGCTTCTACCCTGGTCACCACACCCCACGTTGCCAAGAAGGGAAAGAAGATGTGCTCAGTTCCCATTCTTGGTAGTCCCCTCAGACTGACAAAAGCCAGCGAAGACTGCAAGAAATACAAATGACCAGAACCCAGCCAGGAAAAACTACCGAGCACAACTTAGTTCATAAAACCATCCAACCCAATCCAGGAGCAGGCAAGAGCCCTCCAGGCAAGACCCATTGCGTGTGGGGGATGGGGGGTGGGTGTCAGAGCTCTGCAGTGAGCAGCAGTGGAAGGGCCAATCTGCTTTCAAGGTACACTCTGCCCAGAGAGCACTGTGTCCTAAGGCAGCTCTACCCTTCAGGCTTGCCATTTACCAACCTCAGTGCCAACAAAACCTAAACCCAAGACCAGAAAAAGCAGCCAAGGACCCTAAGGGAAGCCCTGCCTAACAGGTGTAGGTGGGAGAGGCCAAGGGCGGGCACCTCATGCGGGGCTCCTTTGAACACGCTGGCAGACTGGTAGATGGTCTCCGTCCAGAGCTTCAGGTCCTCATTTTCCAGCTCCTCTGCAGTCCTGTACAGAGATTTGGGGACTAGTCCACCCTCTGGCACATCACACTAGAAAGTAAACATGGCAGTGAGAGCCGGGGAGAGGCCAGGCAGCCCCTCACCCCACATGCCCACCTCCTGGGGCAGCTGGGGAAACGGAGAACATTGGCAATGTTATCAAATATTCTGTAGTACTTAGCAAAATATTTGTGCAGCCCACTTAAATACAAGTGTTTTTACTCGGAATAAATGAGAACAAGCTGAAGCTGGTTTACCACAGGATTCACACTAATATGCATGAGGAACCAACTCAATTACTAAGATGATTTACATGAGAATTAAAGGAATTTATATCGCACTATAAAAGAAAAGCACTTGGTTGGGCAGAGTTTCATCCCCAGCAGCCACAGAAACGACAGTCCCTCTAGGGCGCAGCTCGGCAGCACAGTCCCCCTAAAGTGCACGGTGCTCGGGTTTATCCTCAGCACCACACAGACACAAAAACTCTGAGCGAGATAAAATAAAGCAAGCATGCTGTGTGACCTTGGTCAAACAATGCATCAGCCAAAACCTAACAAAGGACTACTACTTTTTCTGAATTTATTTGAAAAAGCTAAGCTGATTAGAATTTGTTCTCATTGTGATTTTCCAACTGACCTTAATAAAGCAAACTCACATTCCAGTGCATAAAATCTCAGCACTCCTAAGATTATAACCCGGAAGCAACTCCACACAAAGCAAGATTGCAGCCCTCGGCTGGTAGCACAGCACCAGTGGAAAACGTCCCCACCGTCACCAAGGTCACCAACGCTGTGTGGACAGGCTCTCTAGTGAAGCCTGAACTCCAGCACTGAGGGTTATGGGTTCAGGGCCAGCATGGCTACATGATGAGACTGTGACTCAAGGAAAATACATAAATAAATAAACACTAGCCTGGTCCAAAGTTCAATACCCCTGTTCACAGAGAAGCCAACAGAGTTCACGAATGACCTCTTGACAACCAGCTTGAGGAGCCCCTGGGGAGAGTTGAGAACAGGCCTCAGGAGGCCTCGACTCGACTCTGGACACAACACAGCATGGCAAACACTGGCAGGGGTGTGACCGACGGTGGTCAGGAGCCCTCGCCCCAGCTCATAAGTGCCAGTCATAACTGCCTAGGATGGCTAGCCTTTCCCTCCACAGCAGCCATGGGTACCACAGCCTAGCCCATGCTTTAACCGTGCTCATAATCACTGTGATGGCAACTCACATGCCCTTTGAACTGCGGTGACACCTTCAATCTCCCTCATGGAAGCGAAGCGCAACTCTCCTGTTTTCTAAATTCCTCCAGCCATTTGGAAAAACCACACTGAAAGCTCAGCTCTCCAGCTAAAACAACCAGACAGTCCCCGGAGACAGACCTCAGAAGACCAACGTCAGTGTCACGTGTGACTAGAGAGCCTGCTGAGAACTCTGACTCCCCGCTACTTCCATTCCCACCGTGTGCCACAGAGCCAGTCACACATCTCTGTGGGCTCCTGCTCCCTGAACCCTCACGGCAGCTTCTGGGCATGAGCCTCCATGTTCCAGCACTAGACGGTCTGCCAGCAGAGGCCTCTGGGTAATTACCCATCACCTCATTTCTTAAAATCCCAAACCTACAAAACAAAGAAACAATTCTTCTACGTTTCAACTCTGAATATTCTGTTGGTTTACTTTAGTCAAGGAGAAATCGTCTTCGGAGTCGATTCAACATCTTACAAGTGTTTTTAAAGGCTGAAGAGAACAGATGAGGTTTTTGTCATGCAAACTGTGAGGGCCAGAGTTTGGATCTCTGGCACCTCTGTAAATGCAGAGTGGGCTGAACAGCCAGCCTGTCTGTAACTCCACTTCAGGAAAGGTGGAAGGAAGGGACCCTGGAGCAAGCTGGCTAGACAGATTCGCTTGATTAGTGAGTCCTGGGTTCAAAAACAAAGTGGAGACCAACTGAGCCAACCTCGGGCCTATACACTCAGGCTCACACACTCACATCACGCAGAGATATGGACCTAGTAACAACCCTCCTAAAGACTCCTCAGTGGCTCAGTCCAGCTCAACAAAGTAACGCCAGCAACCAAGCAGAAGTTCGGAAAACCTTCAGGGCAAGCCAGTGCCTGGCCCTGGCACGGGTCTTGCCGATACATACCATGCACTCCCCACTCAGGAAATCTGGGATTATCTCTTTATCGATGTAATCCAGCAGGCCTCCAGGGCCCTGGTAGTCATTTCCTGCATAGATGAGGAACTTTCTTCTGGTGTTGTCGTCGATGAATGGACTAACCTGAAAGGAACCAGACAGAACAGTAACTCCAGCTGCTGCCGTGGTCTTCAGAGACCAGGCCTGCAGTGTAACACCAGGCGAGAGCGAGGTGGCGGGGTCGCAGCTTTCATGCACCCTGTGACGTCTACTGGCGAAGCACTAGGCTCCCTCCTCAGGAAAAGCCCCGCTTGTTTCCCCCTCAAAGACTCCGCAGCACTTCATATCTGTGTTTATTTGCTTTCTCCCGCCTAGCTGGGGCTTCAGTGGGAGGCATGAACTGAGTAGGCCCAGCTGGCTACAGAGCAGCATCTAAACCCACCAGTGTCCAGAGGACAGGGAAGACCCTGGGGGCACGGAGGATGAGGAGGCGGCCCAGCGTCTCCGGGTAGTTGGCCTCCACCACCTCGATGATGCGCAGCAAGGCTTTGACCCCAGGTCTCCACAGATGCCGCATGTTCAACCCTTCAAGGTCCACCAGGCAGGTCCACGAGCTATGAATAACACGAGGATGGGTTTATTTAACAGATGGTACTTGGCAAACGGTATCCTATTTCATTTTCTACAATCTTTAAAAATTAAAATGTTGTTAGCTGGGTGGTGGTGGCACACGCTTTTAATTCCAGCACTAGGGAGGGGAGGCAGAGGCAAGTGGATCTCTGTGAGTTGGAGGCCAGCCTGGTCTATAGTGAGTTTTTAACACAGAGAAACCCTGTCTTGAAAAACAAAACAAAGGTGCTGTGAACTCTTACATCTGCATGTATGAACCACAGACTAGCAACGTGACAGGAACAAAGCCTGAACTACAAGAACAGGTCCTGACAGACCTCAGCGAGTCTATGAACTGCTGAAACACCAGTGCTCAGGCATCAAAGGCAGGAGGATCAGGAGTTCAAGGACAGCCTGGCTAATGAGACTCCAGCTCTGAAGAGGCCCCTCAGACCTGCTCAATGCTGAGCATCCAGGTGTGGCCTCCTGGCCTGTCATCAAGGCCCTTTACACCAGGCCTTCGACACACCGAGTGTAAAGGGCAACAACTGCAGTATTCACAGGTCTAGTACCGCCTCCAGAACCGACAAGCAGCTGTGAGCAGGGACCCGGCCCACCCTGGCCTGGCAGAACGAACCTGCTCGACCCCAGACAGGGTCTCATGCAGCAAAGGCTGGCATTGAACTGCAGATAGCTTAAGATGACCTTGAACTCTTGATCCACTTGCCTGGTTTCTCAAGTGCTGGGATTACAGTTGTGAGGCAGCATGCCCGGCTTTTCTTTTCTAAGTTTTTTCTCTGCCCATTTTTTTTTTTTTAATTTTTAGTTTTTATGTGCATTGGTTTTGACCTGCATGTCTTTGTGAGGGAGTAGGATCCACTGGAACTGGAGTTAGAGACAGTTGTGAGCTGCCATGTGGGTGCTGGGAATTGAACCCAGATCCTCTGGAAGAGCAGCCAGTGCTCTTAACTGCTGAGCCTTCTCTCCAGCCCCCTCCTCTGCCCATTTTCAGAACAGTATTCCACAGTTAGAGCAGGTTCATGAAAAAGAACTGTGGGCTGAAGGGCACAAAAGCCACCAGGAAACCACCTTGGTCCTGGCTCCTGGGACCAGGCAGACTGGTAACTCAGGGGTGGCAGATAGGGAACCTTGGCACTAGCCCTGGAACTGACCTTATCACTTGCTTTTCAACCTTCTAGAACATGTTGGAAACCATCGACTATCAGATTGTGGTGCCAAAGATCAGCTAAAAGTATTTAGTTCCTGTTCTTTATGTGAAAGGAGATAAGGCTGCACCAACCTGATGGGCCGGCCGAAGACTTTGGTATTTTCTTCACATCGTCTCAGGCCTTCTTCGTTTATGGAAAGAACCTGTGAGCAAATGACAGCGGCCAGGGTCAGTCCCAGAAGGTGCAACTAACATCCGACTTCACAGAGGCTGCTAAGGCAGAACGACACAGCCACGTGTGACCGCAGGAGGGGGTGAGGAGGACAGGCTCGCTCAGGACAGCAGCAGGGGGTGAGGAGTGTGGGCACACCCAGGTCTCACCATATCAGCCAAGACAGAGGCAGGCAGAACAGCTGCCAGGGAGACTCAGGAAAGCTCTCGGGTGGAGTAATAAGCGCACGCGTGTGTGTGTGTGTGTGTGTGTGTGTGTGTGTGTGTGTGTGTGTGTGTGTATGTGTGTGTGGGGGGGTGAGTGTGTGTAAACACACATGGCTGGGGTACAGGCACCTGAAAGAATACACAGCAAAACAAGAGCTGTGAATACTGGGGAAATGGGATTTGCCTTTTTAAGTCTTAGTTTGTTTCAAACTGACAGAACAGATTCTTCTCTGGGCCAGGGGTGCAGCAGATTTGGGGAGATACAGGGGTGGCCTGGAGCCAGGCGACAGCTCAGCAGTCTGTGAAAGGGACCATCAGCCTGAAACAGGGAGGGTCAACAAAAGGGATCTGGCAAGAGATGTGACATGGCTGACTGCTCTGTGAGTCAGAGGCGGTAGGAGCTGCCTCCTGAGGCCTGCGGTGCATGTCCCCAAGTGCAGAGCATGCGTACTTGTCCCAGCAGCCAGCTACGATGCCCCAGTCCTGCTGGCAGCGAGACTGAGGCCAGCATGCGGCCCAGCATTCCCCAGAGCACTTACATATCGTAGCAGGGCTTCCTCTCCGAGGGCTCGCACTAAGCCCTTGGTGTCCATCTGCCCCAGCCTGAGCACGTACAGCGGCCGCCCATCTGCAGGGAGGCAGGGAGGAAGCTGTGACAAGTGGCAGGACATACCTCTAAGAGTCTTCACAAGGGCTAAAGAGAAGCTCCATGCCAGAGGCCCCTCCTGTGAGACCTTGTATTCGTCCCCTGCACAGCCCAGAAAGGCTCCCCAGGGAAGCATGCTCTTCTGCGCTCATGCTTGAGATAGGCAGGGTAAGCATGGCGCTTGGCCTACTGTACGGAGCAGAGGGAGACTGGCTTCTGTGTCAGAATGGCCCGGGGAGGGGCAACCACGTCAGCTGACAGCAAATGACAGGACGTAGGGCCCACACTGCTGAGCTGGGCCAGGCCAAGAGGGACTGAGCTGGGGTGCAGCCTGCCTGGCTTCCCAACCTGTGTGCCATGGGTGCTGCAAAGCTCAGTGTTTAGTACAGGGGACATCAGCACAGCCACATAGTTTCTATGAATATAGAGGTTTCTTTTAAATTATAAAATAATTTTTCCATAAATTATTAAAAAGTTATTGTCAAGATTTTTTTTTTTTTGGATTTTTCGAGACAGGGTTTCTCTGTGTAGCTTTGCGCCTTTCCTGGGACTCACTTGGTA